AGTGATTTTAAAAACTACGTATTTAATTTTCTTTCTGTTGAGACCTAAATATCGATCGAAAAACCAATTGTACTTTAAAATAAAAACGCAAAGCCTTCTCACTGAAATTGTAGTTTTATTTATTGTAGTGTAGGACCTACAAACACTTGTCTTTTTCTTTTACCCGTGACCCCCCGTGTAAGGCTTTGCGACCCCCTGGGGGTCGCGACCCACAGGTTGAAAAACACTGATGTACAGAAACTTACTACATTATTATAATAATTACTAATATAAAAACCATCGTCTGTGTGTGAATTCCTTACAATTCCTGCAAGTTTTTCCGATACAGGTAAAATTTTGGTTATAGTCGTTTTATGTCATGAAAATTTATCACTTTTGCTTTTAAGTACAGTAGCTCGTTTGCTAATAACAGTTCTTCAAGGAATCCGTAAGAACTCGATTTTGTAGTTTATTTTTCATTAAATTTAATTGCAAAAAATACGTTTAATTGCTGCACTTGAATGAGGAAGCAATATAAAAATCTATTTACTGTCAAAGTAAAGTAAAAAAATATAGAAATATAGAATAAAAATGAATGTTTTGAAAGGTACTAAATCGAAAGGAAAGGTATTAGGATTTCATGAATGATACTAGGAAAATGGTGTTGGTCACTTAGTACTGGGACAAGTAAAAAAATACTAGATTAGTACAAAAGTACTAAGTGGAAAAAAACCTAGTTCAAAGGTAAGTCAAAAGTAGCCAAATGCTCGAGCAGTTGGCTACTTTTGGGATACGTTTTAAAAATTATTTGGCTACAAGTGCAAGAAACATCTGGCAACGCTGCAACAGAACAAAGGCCGAAAGCGAAATTTATGAAGGGAAAATGGTGGAAAAATAAGGAAAAAAAAACAAGGTTCAACAAGCCACACACTGACAATTAGATAACAAATCAAGTAGCTTTAATAACGCTCGCTCGAGCGGGAATATTTAAATCAGCATCACAAATCACATATAAACAAAATAAACAACTGCGCCAGCAATGTCGAATTTGAACGAGCTAGTGCACTGCCTGCGCGCATTGGTCATTCCCGAAGCGCGAGTCACAGACTAGATTTTTTTATATGAATTGGTTTATTTTAATTTCTAAATTTAATAGTTTGCGATTTTGCGCACTCCCTTTGAATGGCGCCCGGGACACGTTCCATACTTGCCCACCCTAGCTACGCCTCTGCCCTAAGAAGTTCTGTTATTTCATCATGAGTAATTTGGCAATGAGGAGGAAGAAATCCAGTAGGCAAAATCGCACGAATATTACTTCTAATCAAGCCACTACACTCAACATCAACGCACTTAGTTATCTTTAGAAATGAAAGAAGACATTATTTTAAAACTCTTTAAAATCTGTTAATATTTTGAGCGTAAATTCAATTTACTTGTAGAAGATATTGAGATTCGCGTACGTGCTTAATTAATATACCAATCATGGTTCAATTCGTTTATTTTTTTTTTATCTTTTGCATTTTTACGTTTAACGATTCAAAAGACTGTTTACTACTAGGAAATCATGCAAAAACTTTCACTGATCGACTAACTAGCACACGTGTAAACAGAAACGTCATACAAAACAAAACCAGAGAGAAAAGAGAGAAATCACCATACGGCCTTTCTCCCATGATAATATATATATATATACGTAGAGCGTAAGACTGCTAGCGTTATTATTTTATCACATCACAGGAGATGGATTTAGTACAAAGAGCGTTCTTAATTGAAACCGCCAAATTGAAGCCAAATTCAAAACTCCACCAATCAACAAGATCAAAAAATAAAAATAAGAATATTACGTAAGACGAGATCTATTATTCCCTACCCGAATAATAAATCGTAAGAAATCCTTAAACCCCCAAAGTACCTTACGTAATTTATGGACGGTCCGTTAGGCCACGGTGCTACCACCGTGTAGACACACTTCTGCTAAGTCGGCCCGGAGCAAATAGTTAAAATTTCGTTGGTGGACCTGTTGTGTAGTTAGTTGGCTGTAGCTACCTGGGCCTTAATCTAGGCGCATGAGAGGGATTGGCCAGAATGGCAGTATTGCCTGAACATCTTCTGTGGTGCCACACGTGAAGAGCACATTTAATGCATTTAAGGTCAGTAAGGAACTGCAAATATTCCTCTTTCAATTTGTCACAACCTGTATAAAAAATATTTTATAAATTAAAAATCATTAAAAATATTATTTGTGAAATTTGTATAAATTTATATAAATTCGCTTTATTTTCTTTTTGTGATTACGAAAGAAATGTTGTTGATTTATATTTTTAAAATATTGTTTTAGTTTATGAATTAACAAGAAACATTTACAGAGCATTTATTTTAAATTTGTAAATATATATATATTTATTTTTAATGATTTTTACATTGAAATGTTTGACCTTTCGAACGTAGAGAATTTTCTTTTCATGCTTATGTGGTGTTTATAACAATTTATGAAACATACCAGACAAGTCTTTCTGGGTATATTCGGCCACAGTTTGGTAAAAACTGTTAAATAAGACTCAGCAAAGTTGCTAAATAATACGCAAGAAATATTATTTGACATAAGTTACATCATACTAAAAATTCGATTACATTCAATTGGACTATACTTGTAAACAGTCGACAATAAAGACTATTATTAAAGTAAGTTGCATGTATAATGAATTTAATTTTCTTTTCTGTCAGTTTTAATAATTTTAATGACGTTGTACAAACACACCAGTTCAGTTAATTTGCATAAATTTATGCTTAAAAGTCAATAACCCAGTGTACGGTTCTTTTTAACGTCTTCAAAAATTCTTTAATATTACATTATTTTTGTTCAATACACAAGCAACATAGTTAACTGACTTATGAACCACGCTGTCTTTTATACTAATATCCTGTATGAGTCGTTCAATAGATCCTATTTGAAGCATTTCATACTCTGAACTTCTCACTTGTCAGATAAATTAGACTTATGCTTACATCAGGGCCCATATTGGCCTATTCCAAAAATGTACAAGACTTGTAATAATTGCAGCATGCTAACTGATTATAAGGAACTTTATAAAATCCAATTTGCTTATAACTAGTATATCTTGTTGTAAATTGTAATTTGAAAAGCTTGCAACAACTGCAAGCAACAGTGCATAAGTCTGTTACTAATTCTAAGTAAATAAGAATGATTTCTAAATTAGGAAGGATACCCCAATGGTAAAATATTAATACTTTTATTATTTAATTTTCCAAAATGTGGTGTATAAACTCTGGAAACTCTGGATTTTAATCTACCCCTCGTACAATACTAATATTTTCCTGTGTAGAAATGCAAAATTTATCATTCACCACGTTATTCTCATTGATCTCGTTCACTTCTATTGATATTCTTAATTACAGCATAAATATTTTAGAAAATAGTCATTTTGATAATGGATGAACCAGAAAACAAGTGTGAATTAGTGTGTGAAAGCCGTTCGAAGAAAAATTTGAATGTTGCCTACGTATACGATATAGTGAGACGTATATTGAAAACTTTGGATAATTCCGAAATAGAGAATTGCATGAAAGTTTGTTCATTGTGGAAGGAAATAGGAGAATCCATATTGAGAGGAAGGATAACGATTGCAGTTGAGGTGAGTTATAGTTTAAGATAAGAATAAACAGGTGTAAAATGTGAAAAAATATAATGACTGTGTAAAATGAAACCTGTGTAAAATGTGAAAAAATAGGTATCGTGCGATTCCGGTTTACACAGGTTTTACTGTATTTTTTGATATTGTGATATTTATGATAAGCAATATACAGAGCCGTAACTAGAATTTTGGACGCCTATGGCCAAGAATGAAAATGGCGCCTTTTTAATTTTTATTATTAAAAAAATAATTTTATTCTAAAAAAGGTTATTATAAAACATTATGTAAGAATATTTAAATACTAGATAAATATAAATATAAAAATTTTTTGTGTTATTAATTTTGAATACATATTTGTTTCGAAACCTTCTCATTGGCGCCTTTATTAAATCGGCGCCTATGGTTTGGTCCTCATTGGCCACACCCTAGTTACGGCTCTAATAACATATACTCATGCAGTTGAAGTGTTCATGCAATAGTAAGATTAGTTTTGCCAACATTTGCGATTATGTGTATAATTTTAGTTTCATATGGAATCAAATACATTAGTTTAGTATAGAAAGTTTAGTATAGAAAATAGAAATGCATTTCCTTCTCGTTTGCATCTCGTCGCGAACGATAGCAACGCAAAGAGACGGAGAGACGTGATTGGGCGATAAATCGTTCAATTAATTTTGAATTTTTGTAATGGCATAGGCATGTTGTTCGAATAGGCATGTTGTTAACCTTCTGTTCGAATTAAACTTTCGTGTTACTAAATCTGTGACGAAGTTTTTAGTGACATTCGAGTGATGTTTATAGCAGTGTTTTTCAACCTGTTGGTCGCGACCCCCAGTGGGTCGAAAAGCCTTACACGGGGGATGGCGGGTGAAAGAAAACGACAAGTGTTTGTAGGTACTACACTACAATAAAAAAATCTATAATTTCAGTGAAAAGGCTGTGCCTGTTTATTTTACAGTACAATTGGTTTTTCGATCGATATTTAAAGATAGAAAATTAAATATGTAGTTTTTGAAATCACTGATATAGTTTTAATATGGCCCTGGGGGGTCGCCGGAATTTTTTAACTTGTAAAGGGGTCGCGTATTCAAGAAGGGTGAAAAACACTATGTTAAAGAAATCTGAATTTTCTATAAGATAAAATGCATTTTAAATGTTTAAACGGTAAAATATAAAATCTACGTATGAAAGAAAGATGCTACGTGATACGTATATCATTCCTTTCCTAACGATTATAAAAATCTCCCAGATAGAAATTACAAGAAGTTGAAATTTTTACGTGTCTCTCCTTGTGCAGAAATTTAAAAAATTGCTACAGAAGGAGAAATGGAGATGGATTACAATCTGAAAAAACAGTAGACCTATAAATTACCAGTATTACTTGTCTGCCTGCCTGTCCTTTCTTAATCTCGAGAACGGAGTTAGATAGATGAACGTCGAGAACATATATGGATAAGATAGGAGCAGGAAGCCCCGATTATATTGATACTTGAATGAAAACAGGAGATCACGTTGTTCCAATTGAAAACTTTCCCATGAAAGATGTTAGATATATGACCAGCACGACGGTATTGCTAGCAGAAAAAGTATGATATATAGAGGCAAGACACTAGTTTGAGATGGAGAGCATATATTTCAAATTAAATAAATTACTACAAATAATTGGAATGTAAATAATTATTTTGTTCATATTAGTATCCAGTTTTCCGAATAAAGTTCGTTGAATAAAACCATTTTTATTTCCTGTATTTTCACTTACAAATATTTACTCGAGAGTATTAAAGCCTTCTTTGTACTGTACATTGGCCTCTTTGGCCCATGTAGTAATAGTTTCTGGCAAAAACTATTACTACAGGTGATATAATAAAGAAATTTTGCTCTTTCCTGAACTAACTCTCATTGCTGTGTCAATTTTTAAACACCAGTATTAAGTCCTATTAATAAATAATGTCCAAGTAGACAATTAACAATAATGTTTTTATGTAAATCACTTAGAAATTATGTGAAATTTTATAAATATTGTAATATCGACGCGGATGATGCGTTGATCCATCTGAAAAACTGTGGCAGCCATCTTGAAGTTTCTGTTCGGAACTTTCGAACTTCGCTCCAATACTGCTGCAGCTGATAACTTGTTATGGACATTCAGATGTTTGTAGCAATACTTATCTCTCAAGGCGTTACCATGCATAAGCAATAAATAGAATTTCCCACTTCCGCAGATATCTGGGACTTTTATTACTTTCGAAAAGTTTTGTGTCAAATTGCGCTTGCATATTGATATCCTTACGATTCAAACATGGTTTATTCAATGTGTATGGGCGAGAAAAAAATGATTAAAATTTCCTTAGTAAGAAGATGGAAGTACTGTAAATTCATTTATCTTGAAGTATGTAATAAGAAATTAAAATCTTTCATTTAGACGTTATCACTGATCGATTTTGTTTCTATATACTACAAAGAAAGGGAAAATTTACGCTACTGCATGACAATGTTGGCGAGAGCGAAAAACTATGATTGATTTTGTAGTAATTAAAGTTAACATTTTCATTAACCTTTCCTTCAAATGTTGACTTAATTAGAAGTCAACATTTGGAGGAAAGTTTTATGAAAACGTTTACTTAAATTCTGTACTTCAAAATCGAACTTTTAGAAAAGAATTAATGAAATTTTGAATGAAATATTTCCAATTAAATATCTTCTAAAGGTTGATTTTAATTCAATTTAAAGTCGAAGTTTTCTTATATTTTTCTTCTAAAGTTTGACGATACCTATAGCTTTTGCCTTTAAAACTTATTAAATTATTTTCCAAATGTTGATTTAGTGATAATACTACTAAACATTAGCATTTGATCGTGGGTTCGCACCTCAGCAAGGGGCTGTCCACTACTTAACTGAGTATAGTGTTTATAAAGTTATTATTATTGAAAATACAGGGCGACCTGAAAGTTAATTAACCATTGAAAAGTCAAAATTTTTATTTTATAAAAATGCTTTTATTGTTTACAAATTTTAAATAATTATTGAAACTAATACAGTATATTTATATTGTTCAATACACGAACTGCAAATTCAATTTATTGTGTATATTCACGTGTATAACTGGAATTTACAAAGTAAAACGCGGTTAAATGACTTTTGGGTTACCCTGAACTGTGTTCGAATTTGTATAAACTCTTAAGTGAAATGTTTGTCCTTTTTTCATATGTAGGACTTACCACGTGATATAATTGCAATCACGAACTTTTATCCAGAATATGTTCTTGGCTTCTTCAAAACACAAAATGGCAACATTAACATCTTGACAGGATATAATGGACATTCGGAAGAAAACATGGAAAGGAGTGATGAAACTAAGACAATACGACTTTTATTGCGGTTGGATGCTCGATGTCGTAAGTATCTTATTAAAACTTTAGCAAAATGCCCACCAGTGTCCAATGGTTGGCATATTATTGATGTTTTAATTGAATGCGAGTAGTGGGTTTGTGTGTCACCAATGGCTGAATACGTGGAATGTTTCGGTTTGTCACGTGTCTAATATTCAAATAGCGGCCAGTTTTGTATAGAATGTTCTTCCCGGAAGGCATTTTGAGAAGAACATTTTATTTGTATTGTTATAGATTGGATGAATTTATAAGGATCGTGGCAAGATTCTGTTAATTCTCATTTCCACTATTTCGAGAGAATTCGTTTTGAAAGGTGGATCAAATCGCCAAATCACATCTAGTAACCACACGTGTATTTGCAAATTCTTTGTTATTAATTCAGTTTTCCTGAATGAAGGCGGTACTTGCAATAATTACAAAGAATTATGACACACATTGCAAGAAATCTTTACAGATGCACCGTATCAACATGTTCTGGCTTGGCTCTATTTTTACCGTAAAGAATAACTATCATCACATGTTATAGGTTGAATGTATGAGTTTTTCAGCATTTATTCGTAAGTTCCATTTAAAAATATCAGATTATTCGTTCGGCAATTAAATAAAAAACAAACAAACAAAATCATGGGCATCATCTATTACAGTATACAAATTAATATGAATATCAACTTATAACTTTAACAAAATAATTAGAATTACTTCAATTATAATAGAAAATTAATTTCATTTGTTAGAAACAAGTGCTCATATGTTGAAGGAACATCGGTCTAATTTTAGGAAAATCCAAGCAGCACAAACCTTAGTTTCACTTCTCTGTGGTTGAGACATCAGTCCCTAGCCTCGCTGACTGACGAATCTCTCGATAGAATATTTAAGTAAATAAGGGCCTACTTGTTTGTGATGGTACTGATTCTAATGTCTGATGGTTCACACAGCCTTTCTTGTAGAAAGTTTTGACTCAGGGCAAGACGAGGCTCTATGACATATCCGGCTATCTACTGGTTAGTTCTGCAAATTCTTCAAGCCTGTTGTGTTTATATGAAGCTGTCATGATTAGTTCAATTTGTCCAAAAGTGTAATTTGTTACTATCTCGGCTCAGTCCCTTTAATTTATCAGTAACACTACAATCGAGAACAAACACTTCATTTATAGTCAGAATATCTATAAATCATTCTGTCGACTTTAAAACATCTGTGAAATCAAGGACTCACCTTGTACGATTATTGCTTTAATAGCATAAAATAACCAACACTTAGGAGGCGATCTGCCAATTGATGATACCACCTGGGAGGACTTTCTACGGGAAACTGGTTTCTATTTAGATGGTACACACGCGAAGGAAAGTACGAAAGCTTCACGTAGCCAGTCCGTTTGTCGAATGGCCAAGCGGTCAAGGGGGCAGCCTACCCCTCTAGAGGACCCTAGTTCGAATCCGAACGAGTCGAAAAATCCCGAGGAATTTTTTGCTGGGTCGTCCGTTCGGATATGTTGGGCCCCGTCCCTCATTAGTTGGCAGCCCCCTTGTGGCCTGGCCGAGCCCATAATAGGCTTGAAAAAAAGAGGCCCTCTTAGTGCCCACAGGGCAGAAACAGTTAAAAAATGGTTTGTTGGTCGGGCACGAACTGCAACCTAAAATATTTTAGACTTCTATCACAATGGTAGGTGGATAAAATCATTCAGCCACTGGTGAAGATGTAAGAGAAGTTAATGGAATTTAATTTGAAAACGTAACGTTTTGCAGGTAAAAATAATCATATAAAGGACCGGCGATATTCTCAAAGGCTCATTAAACGTTATTCAAGTCCCTCAAGAAATCTGTTACCAATATGGATCGCTGTTTTTCCTCAACTTCCCGGACTGAAAATAAGTCGTTTTGTGTTTTCAGAAAATGAAATCAAAGAAAAGCTGAAACCTGGTCCCACGTGGTTTACAGAATTGACAGACATTTCTAAAGAAGAAACGAAATGCGTCCTGTGGATTGTGGATGGAATACTGGACGACACCTTCATGAAAGTTATACCACAATGCGCAGTAAGCGGTATATCAGATATTAGTTTATGTCCAGCATACAGATGTATTGTGTTTTCGGGGAGGATGGTACATGCATTANCGTGTATGCACGCTCTGCAACCGTCTTCGATTCCATCCATTAGCCACTCGTAGGGAGCTATTTGACTAAGTGCATTGTTTTAAGATTTAAAAAGTAAAGAATATTTTATATTTTTATGTACGTTTCTTTACAAAGCTATATTTAATTATAATTTTTTTTAAAAGGTAACTTTTTATTATTTTATTTTTAATTGTAGCCCTTATATCGTGACTAGCGATTCGGAATGTAATTATGATATTAAAAATGCATTTAGAGAAGTCTATGGTTTTTACTGGCTTATCGAATAAACGATACGAATGGACCCTAGACCATCACTGACGCGCAATTGACTGATTGCCCTTGCATGTCGGCTTCTTACAAAAACACAGCTTCCCTATCATTAAATGTCACGACACGCCCCTGCATTGCAAAGTCCAAATTTTTATTGTATATAAATGCTTTATTGTTTACAAACAGGGTTAACTGACTTTTGGGTAACCCTGAACTGTGTTTGTTTGTATAAACTCTTAAGTGAAATATGTGTTCCTTTTTTATATGTAGGCCTTACCACGTGATATAATTGCAATCACGAACTTTTATCCAGAATATGTTGTTCGCTACTTGAAAACACAAAATGGCAACATTAACATCTTGACAGGATATAATGGATATTTGGAAGAAAACGAGGAAAGAAGTGATAGAACTAAGATAAAACGACATTTATCGCGGTTGGATGCTCAATGTCGTAAGTATCTTATTAAAACATTAACAAAATGCTTACCAGTGTCCAATAGTGGCATATTATTGATGTTTTAATTGAACGCGAGTCGTGGGTTTGTCTCACCAGTGGCTGAATACGTGGAATATTCCGGTTTTACACCTGTCTAACACCCAAATAGGGGCCAATTTTCTATAGAATGTTCTTTCTGGAAGGCATTATGCGAAGAACATTCTTTTTGCATCGTCATAGATTGGATGAATTGAGAAGATTCGTGGCAAGATTCTGTCAAGCCTCATTCCCACTATTTCGAGAGAATACATTTTGCAAGGTGGATCAAATCGCCAAATCACATTAAGTAACCACACGTGTATTTGCAACTTCTTTGTTATTAATTCAGGTTTCCTGAATGAGGGAGATACAGTATTTGCAATAACTACGAAAAATTATGACACACATTGTTTGCATTGAAGTCTATTCAGAGGCGCCGTATCAACATTTTCTGGCTTAGCTCTATTTTTACCGTAAACAATAACTATAAACATATGTTGGAAGGTTCCATTTATGTGTTTTTCAGCCTTTTTTCGTAAGTTCCATTTGAAAATATTACATTATTCGTTCGGCAATTAAACAAAAAAGAAACAAACAAAATCATGGGCATCATCTATTACAATATACGAAATAATATGAATATCAGCTGATAACTTTAGCAAAATAATTAGAATTACTTCAATTATAATAGAAAATTAGTTTCATTTGTTAGAAAGAAGTGCTCGTATGTTAAAGAAACATACATCAAATTTTAGGATAAAGTCAAGCAGCACTAACCTCGATCTCATATCTTTGTGGTTGAAACATCAGTCCCCGGCCTCGCTGACTCACGATTCTCTCGATTGAATATCCAACTGAATAAGGGCCTGCTTGCTCACAATGGTACTGACTCTAATGTCTAATGCTTCACACAGTTGTTCTTCCAAAAACTTTTGACTTAGGGCAAGAGGAAGCTCTATAACAAAGCCGGCTATCTACTGGTATTTTCCGCAAATTCTTCAATCCTGTTGTTTGTTTACGTGAAGCTTGCATGATTAGTTCAATTTGTCCAAAAATGTAACTTGTCACGATCTGGCCTCAGTTTTCTTTAATTTATCAGTAACACAGCAATGGAGAACGAACACTTCATTTATAGTCAAAATATCTGCAAATCATTCTGTTAACTTTGGAAAATCTCTGAATTCATGGACTCCTCATATACGATTATTGCATTAATAGAATAAAATAACTAACACTTAGGAGGCGATCTGCTAAGTGATGATACCTCCTGGGAACACTTTCTACGAGAACCTGGTTTCTATTTAGGTGTTACACACGTAAAGGAAAGTACGAAAACTTCACGTAGTTGGGCACGAATTGCAATTTAAATATTTTAGACTTCTATCACAACGGAAGAAAATGTGTAAGTAGATAAAATTATTAAGCCACTGGTGAGTATGTAAGAGAAGTTTAAGGAATTTAATATAAAAACATAACGTTTTGCAGGTAACAATAATAATATGAAGGACCGGCGATATTCTCAAAGGCTCATTAAACTTCATTCAAGTCCCTCAAGAAATCTGTTACCAATATGCATCGCTGTTTTTCCTCAACTTCCCGGACTGAAAATAAGTCGTTTCTTGTTTTCAAAAGATGAAATCAAAGAGAAGCTGAAACCTGGTCCCACGTGGTTTACAGAATTGACAGACATTTCCAAAGAAGAAACGAAATGCGTCCTGTGGATTGTAGATGGAGTACTGGACGACACCTTCAAGAAGGTTATACCACAATGCGCAGTAAGCGGTATATCAGATTATAGTGTAGGTCGAGCATACAGATGCATAGTGTTTTCGGGGAGGATGGTACACGCATTATCATTTAATCTGCCAAAAGATCATACATTACAACAAATGAAAGTTACAGAATTGAAGCAATACAACATTGCATGGAACAATTGTATTTTGTTATATTTCAACCAAAAGTTCATGAATTGGTGCAACGATCGATCAGGCTTTCCCGAACTGGAGATTTTTAGTAAAGAATTTCACAACATACCGATTTTGTTTTATCATAGCTTCGTATCTTTCGGTGTCGAATACATCCCGAATATTTGTGAAAACACAAGTACTATAGGAGAGTGTACAAAAGATGCATCAGTTCTTGCAAAAATTGTTTTATTGTGGATTGCATGACTTGTATTTATGTTGTTAAATGCAATTTTAAGGTACTTTGTTTAAAAAAGATGTATTCCTCGTATATCACATTTAACTTTTATTCAAATCATTTTGTGTATTTATTGAAGATCAATTGACATTAAAACTGTATAAATTACAAATGTAATTAAAATTTAAATATGACTTAATAAACTGATTTTTATTTAACAATTTTACTAGTATTTTTTCTCTCTTTGCCCTAGTGCCCAGCAGTTGCTAAAAGCAACTGAACATTATATTTCGAGTGTTCGCACCTTAATAACTCGCTGGTCGCCTGACTTTTTTTGGGTATTCTTTATGTGTGTAATAATCCAAATAGGAACGAAGTTCCTGTTGAAGATCTTTCCAAGAGACTCCCATGTGTTGCGTCGTCAAATTCCATAGAACCAAATATGACCACTGTGCGAACACTAAGAGGAGTTCTTATAGTAAGCCCATTATGATTTCAACCAGGCCCACAGTCGAGTGGCTGGGTGTTGAGGGACAGGGCGACATATTCGGATCGACCACTCCTGAAAAATTCCTGAATTTTTGGCCAGTCCTGATCCGATTCCAGGTTCCAAAGCAGCAGACTGCCATCTTATTTTTTAGTTCATGTGGCTGTCGAACTATATGTACTAAGTGGGCCTATTAATAAAGACATTTGTAAGTTCGGCCAGGCGAACAGGTCAGGTAATGAGAGGCGGTGTCTGACAGACCACCTATGAAAAGAGTGCTGTCACTACACCGACAATATTTTCTTCCAGTATTGAAAATTTCTTTAATTCTTGCTACGCCAAACCTTCATAGAAAATTGCAGAAATTTATGTAAATCCTGAAATACGTTAATTTTTTTAAGTACAGTACCTAAGTAAATAACTTTTTTTCACAATTTAACAGTGTTTCTCTACTTTTATTTAAAAAATAAGTTTCTTCCTTTTATCTCATAAAATATGTGCAAATACACATCAATTTCTCAGTATCGGCAAAGGAACGGAATTTTTCGCAATATGGGAAATTTCCTGCAGATAAAAGCTTTGGTTTGAACGCGTATAATTTAAAGAATAATAAAAGCCTTAAAAGAGTAATTTCATTGAATTATGATAAAATTTTCTAAGAAAAATATATTTAAACACTAAGACTCATTACCTAAAAATTAAATTTTTGGTTATGGAATTTTATTTAAAATATTTTTGTATTATTAATTATTATATAAAGTCAAAAGGATTAACTTTTACGGTAGAGATGAGTTTTTTTTTCTTTCTTTCAAAGTGGAAATGCCAATAACGAGTAAAACGTTCGTTAAGTCCGATACAATTCGATATATGACACAAGATTCTCTCTTCTTCCCACCACCTTAACCTTTAACCACCAAAGTTTATGCCATATGTATAGAAACATTCCTGTCAATTTTCAAAATTTATGGTTTATTTTACTTAATTATTGAATCTGAACACTAGCATCCTCATTATGGAGATCCGATAATCACTACTACACTTCTGAAAAGACTATTTAAGATACCCTTGTTGAATTTGTAAAGAAATGTTTGATATTGTTCCGAATTCGAACACAATTTACCTGACGAAGGCTTATAAATAGAACCGAAAAACGTTTAGTAAAGAAATTTAAATACTCCAGTGGTAAGGTGTGATTTAATATTTAGTTATAACTACGTATTTCACAGATAAGCAGGGATGGATAATCGGAATCGGGAGTAGAGGAGTCAAATCTTTTTATGGGAGTCCGGAATCGATTTTAAACAATAGCGAGTCGGAAGACGACTCTGTATTGTTTCCGCCGACTCCCCATCCCTGTAGATAAGTATGGTTTTCCAAAATGCGGAATTATAGTTTGGTTATATAAAAAATGTATACAACAAAGTCAATGTAGGGGCCAAATTTAATAAGTTTTTCGCAGAAGCAGCAGAAGTACTAAGTTGTACATGAATAGAGATACACAAAATAAGGAAAGAGATTCCGATTTGTGCCCAATTCACTCATAGTATTCACTGGTTTTCATTGTAGTCTCAGTCTAAACAAGCGCATCTAAATCGATGGGTAGACAGCTGTTTCAAGAAATTTTTAGAGTAATATTATAAAAGTGGCTGGTATTCATGTGTCTGGCTAAGAGCAGGAGATATTATTCTTTAGTAATTCTATCTCCAGGTGAAGCGAACTTCATAATTTCATTACAAATGTAAATTCGTCTCTGTAATCCAAAAACACACTTTGGTAGACGTATCTTACAGCAATTTCTGGTTATCAAATTATTTTTTATTTTTCATTGGACTACAAATATATTTCGGATTGGTATAATGTACCCCAACCCCTCCTCAGTGCTAGTTCAAATAAAACAAGTAATATTAAAACATGACAATGTTATATTATATAAAACAAACCAAATCAAAAAAACACATTTTCTCATTATGTAAATTATAAAAATTGTTTCTTTTTTTATTTCACAAATTATTATTTTACAAATTTTATTTTACTAAATTTAATTTTATNAAAGGGAAGTAGAAAATCCTTCAGAACATGAAGTCTCACGACAGAATATAGACTTTTCCTCCACCAGGATTTGCTTATGTTCTAAACCTACATGCTTGTTAGTAAGATTTCCTGTTGACGAGAAGTGCTTATCGCAATAACAACAAGTATTTTCCGATATATCCAACGCAATATTTTCCATAACGATGTCTTCGCAACGTAGCGGGAATACATCAAAAATTATTTATGATAAAGTAAGGTGTTAAAGCTAAAATATCGACAAAAAATTCCAAGCACACCGTACAGTACGAGGTATACGCTACCTCAATGTTCCGACACTAGCGGCATCTCGTGGTAAAAACCAGAACTACGACAACGGAATCGTTCTGTAATTAGCTGCCAGTATTCTATCTCGTTGTCTGAGACCTACTGTAGCAACTCTAGCGGAACCTTTTTGTAACTCATGGCAGGCGATCGTGTTGTGTGTTCGGAGTGCAATCTCTATTTTGGGTCATGTTAAATTTCCATAAATTTAATGCTTTTTCTTAACTCGCATTTTCCTCTACTGTATTTTAACTTTTTCTGTTGGATGTCAGAAAAGCAAATTGTTGATTACCATATAGACCTAGATTATTGTGTTATATTGATTACTATATTGTGTTATTGAACCGATTGTTTTGTTTTATAATAAATGTATTTATTATAAAACAAAACAAATTTGTGTTTCTTTAGAAATAATGTAATCTTCTCAGGGTTAAATAGTCAAAAATAGTGAAAATTTCAAATTAACTTACATTTGTACACTTATGGTACAGTCAATATTTTTTTTATCTGTTAAAATAACTTTAGAATTATGAATTTCCAGAAAGATAGTTTTCAATCAATTTATCATTGTTCTAATTTTATTTATTGAATTAAACTCATATTAAAACATTTTACTTAATTTTTAATACATCTCGATAAACAAACCGTATAGGAAGAAAGTAGATTGTTTATCATCATCTCATTTCTTTTAAATTATATTAAGATGGTTTAAGTGAAAAGTTTGAAAATAATTTTAAAAATATCGTTGGTTCGTATATAATCAAAGTAATTTTTTTATGTTTTAAAATGGACTTTTATACCTTAAATTTTGGTTTGAATAAAACGAAACATAGCTTATTTCCTAATTTTTTGTGTTAAAACGTATTGCTTCTTCTTGATTACGATTTCTATAGAAGCGCTATGGTCGGTCTCAGCCAATGTCTTTCTGCAGCTAAAAGCTTGTGCGTTCATATCGAATAGCATTCGTATCGTTCTTTCGGTCGCTATGTCCGGTGTATGGAGACAAAATGCCCACAGTTATAGGTATAACTTCCTTTGGTCGCCCGGAGCTTTCGGGAACTCGAGCTTTTATACGTTCTTCGTGGGAAATGAGTCACGTGATCTACTTCTGTTGTCACTAATGGTGCATTTCGATCAACTAAGTGTCGCCTTTCCCACCTAAGTGTGAAAACAATCGGTGACCTCAGATATACTTCTCACAAAAAGTGTTTTTTTCATCGGTGTTGTTTACAAAGATTTTCCTGACATCGGCGTAAAAATCGCGAATTTCACATATATACTCGTATATATAATCGAGACGAGTTAATAATGATAATAATAATAATTAGCGCAGAGCCCAAACGGTTAGGAGTTGAAAGTTGAAATTTGGTACACAGTTAGGGTACGTCACGAAAACGCACACCAAGAAGAGATTTTTCGAAATTCCCTTTCCGGGGGAGAGAGACAGGATTAAGGTTTCGATAATGGAAGTGTTAGGTAACAATGGCAGTGTTAAGAATGGACGTGTCAACAATGGCAGTGTTAAGAATGGACGTGTCAACAATGGACGTGTAAACAATAGAAGTGTTACGTAACAATGGGCGTGTAAACAATAGAAGTGTTACGTAACAATGGAATTGTTAAGAGAAAGCGACGTGCAAGACGCAGATGCAGTTTTTTTCGTTTTTGCGGGAAATCGAACATATTTTTAGACCCATCTAAAAATTCTCTAATTAGTCTGGAAACAAGGGGACCCAATTCTTGCATTCTGTGAAAACGGGTAAGGTTGACT